TACAACTTCTTCTTCTTCTCCTACTACTACTACTACTACTACTGCTACTACTACTACTACTGTTAATACTACTACTACGGCTAAGACTATTACTACTACTACTACTATTGCTACTACTACTACGTCTACGACTATCTCAAAAAATGCCCCTATCATGACTACGGCTCCTACTACGACTACTACTACTACTACTACTACGACTACGACTACTACTACTACTACTACTACTACTACTACTACTACTACTACTACTACTACTACTACTACTACTACTACTGCGAAGATTTATTTTACCTACCACTATTACTTATACTACTACTTACTACAAATAATAAATACTAAGACTTTACTACTATAATTACTACTACTACTTTTAACTTTTTTTTATTTACTACTACTATACTACACTACTACTTACTTACTACTTGATACTACTACTACTACGTACTACTAACTCTACCTACTACTACTAATACTACTACTACTATCCCTTTTCCCCTTTCTCCCCCCCTTTTTTTACTACTACTACGGACTAATACTACTACTGGTTGCTAAAATACTTTCCATACTACTACTACTATACTACTGACTACTAACTAAACTATTACTAGCACTAGTACGACTACTACTACTACTACTACTACTACTACTACTACGACTACAACTACTACTACTACTACTACTACTACTACTACTACTACTACTACTACTACTACTACTACTACGACTACTACTACTACTACTACCACTACTACTACGATGATTGCTACACCGGACTCACTTCTATAGCGCTCACTTCTATAGTGCTCACTTTGAAATTGTGGTCCGGAAGGGGCCGCACATGCAGGCACATGCCGCACAGTCGCATGCACATGCCCATGCAAATATACAAAAGCCTCAACAGCATTGCCGCACATGCGCGCACATGCCACACGGTCCGACGCACAGTCGAATGCACGGTCAAGCAAAACTCTGAAAGCATAGACGCACATGCCCGCACATGCCGCAGAGATGTCGCAGGCGATAGTGGCCTGACCACCTGAGCTCGGGGCATTTCGCAACCCAGAGTTCCGAGGATGTCTCAGGCAAGCGTGGCCGGATCACCATGGGGCAGGGCATCTTGGAAACCAGAGTGGAGAGGATGTCGCTGGTCAAGGTGACCAGACGACATGGGGCAGGACACCTCCGAGGTCTGAGTTGTGAGGATGTCTCAAGCGAAAGTGGCCTGACCACCATGGGGCAAGAGATCTCTGAGGTCAGAGTTGCGAGGATGTCTCTGGGGAGAGTGGTCTGACCACCTCAGCCCAGGGCATCTCGGAGCCCAGAGTTGCGAGGCTGTCTCAGGCAGGACTGGCCTGACCACCTGCTCAGGGCATCTCAGAACCCAGAGTTGCGAGGGTCTCAAGCGAAAAAGGCCGAGACACTATGGAGCAGGGCATCATTGAGGTCAGAGTTGCGAGGATGTCTCAGGCTAAAGTGGCCTGAACAGCTCAACTCAGGGCATCTCGGGCGAGGATGTCTAAAGCGAAAGTGGTCTAACCACCTCAGCTCAGGGCGTCTCGGAACCCAGAGTTCCGAGGATGTCTCAGGCGAAAGGGGCCGAGACACTATCGAGCAGGGCATCATTGAGATCAGGGTTGCGAGGATGTCTCAGGCGACAGAGGCTGACCACCTCAGCTCGGGGCATATCGGAATCGAGACTTGCGAGGATGTCTCAGGCGACCGTGGCCTGACCAGCATGGGGCAGGAGATCTCTGAGGTCAGAGTTGCGAGGATGTCTCAGGCGAAAGAGGTCTAACCACCTCAGCTCAGGGCGTCTCGAAACTCAGAGTCCCGAGGATGTCTCAAGCGAAAGTGGCCGGGCCACCATGGGGCAGGGCATCTCCGAGACCAGAGTTGCGAGGATGTCTCAGGCGAAGGTGGCCAGATCACTTCATGTCAAAACACGTCGGCCTCCAAATTGCCGACGACGTCTCACGCGGAACTGGCCGGACGCGAACGCGCCGGCGTCCGGAGACGAACGCCGGCCCCGGCATTCTTGCACGTCCCGCACATGCACTGCACTGGTACGCACAATATTCGCACAGGCCGAGCTCGCCGGTGGCCGAGCCAGGCCAGCGATTCCGAGATTCCCTGAGCTCGGGCCGTCAAGCCACTTTCGCCTGAGACAGCCTCGCAACTCTCACCTCCTCCTCCTCCTCCTCCTCCTCCTCCTCCTCCTCCTTCTCCTCTGGCCGAGCCGAACAGGCAGGCTGGCCAGTGACCGGGGGCGCCCGCCTCCTCCGCCCCCCCCTCCTCCCCCCCCTCTCCACCTCCCCCCCCCATCCCTGCTTCTCCGGCCGAGCTGAGAAGGCGCGCGGGAGAGTATTTTATTAGGCGGGCGCGCCACCGCCAGCTCACGAACCGGGCGAATAACCGCCCCCGCCAGCAGCGGGCGAGTCTAAACGCACAACAAATTCTTTCAGGAAGCCCTGGCACGCCCCAGGTTAGCTCTGCGAAGGCCAGGAGGCATTGGAGGCACAGGGGTCCCAGACAGCTCCTACGGCATGAACGTGCATGTGCATTGGGATGTGCACGCATGTGCGCCCGCGCGCTTCGCCGCATGTGCGTGCATGTGCGGGCCCGCGCGGCCTCCCGAAGAGAGGTTGCACAGGCATGTGCGTGCATGTGCCGATGACAGATCTGCGATTCTCGAACACCTCCCGCATGTGCAAGCATGTGCGCGCATGTGCGTCGGACTGTGCGTGCATGTGCGTATGATGGATACATCAAAACACAGCGCACATGCCCCCGCACATGCCCGGGCACGACGTGCACAGTAGGAAGTCCATCCAAGAAGGACCGCACAGGCCTGGCACATGACTGGCACATGCCGCGCACATGCGCGCACATGACAGCGCAAAAACGGCCGCACATACACCCACCCAGGGGTATAGATGTGAGTGCGGTGTACCACTACTACTGCTACTACTACTACTGCTACTACTACTACTACCACTACTACTACTACGACTACTACTACTACTACTACTACTACTACTACTGCTAATACTATTACTACTACTACTACTACTACTACTACTACTACTACTACTACTACTACTACTACTACTACTACGACTACTGCTACTACTGCTGCGACTGCAACGTCTACTACTACTACGACTAGTACTACTACAACCACTACGACTACAACTAGTACTACTACGATTACTACTACTACTACTACTACTACTACTACTACTATTACTACTACTACTACTACTACTCCGACGACGACGACGACGACGACTCCTACTACCACTACTACTACTACTACTACCACTACTACGCCCTACTTCCGGCTTACTTCTACTACTACTACTACTACTACGACTACTACTACTACTACTACACTAACTACTACCACTACTCCTACTATACTACGGCGACTACGACTACTATCTACTACTACGAACTGAACTACACTACTACTACTAACCACTACCACTAACTACTACTACTACTACTACTACTACTACTACTACTGCTGCTACACTACTACTACTACGTACGATTACGACGACTTACTCAAACTCCTACGACCACGACTAACTACTACCATTACTACTAACGACTACTATACTACGACTAACTACTACTACTACTACTACGCTCCTACTACTACTACTACTACCTACTACTACTACTACTACTACTACTACTACTTCTACTACTACTACTACTACTACTACTACTACTACTACGACGACTACTACTACTACTACTACTACTAATACTACTACTGCTACTGCTACTAATACTACTATTTCTACGACTACCACGACTGCTACGACTACTACGACTACTACTGCTACTACTACTTCTACTACTGCTACTACTACTACTACAGCTACTACTACTACTACTACTACTACTACTACTATTACGACCACTACTACTCCGACTACGAGGACTACTACTACGACTACTACTACTACGACTACGACTACGACGACTACTACTACTACTACTACTACTACTACTACTATTACTACTACTACTACTACCACCACTACCACCACTACTACCACTACTAGCACTACGACTACGACTACGACTAAGGCTACGACTATTACTTCTACGACTGCTACTACTGCGACTACTGCTACTACTACTACTACTACTACTACTACTACTACTACTACTACTATTACTGCTACTCCTACGACTACGACTACTACTGCTACTACTACTACTACTACCACCACTACTACTACTACTACTACTACTACTACTACTACTACTACTACTACTACTACGACTACGACTACGACTACGACTACGACTACGACTACGACAACGACTTCTACTACGGCGACTACTACGACTGCACTTCCAGCACAATCACCACCACCTCTACGACCCGTTTACCACAGCAAACATTATGTTTGGATCATGGGGGTGATGTGATTAAGGTGGTGGTCCTGCCTGCGTTGCTCTTCTTCTGCTCCTAGTCATCACCAAATGATTATCACATGAATGCGACTGGCATCAATCGTATCACTACTGCTGCTACTCCCACCAATATCACTACCAACACCATGAATGGTAATAACGCACAGCTTTCGCTACGGCTTACACTGTTTCTACTACTGCTAGTAGCCCCTGCTACGACATATTGGCGCGGCGCGACAACGCGAAAAGATGCATGAGTAAAAAAGAGAAGGATTATCATGAATAGCACGACAACGGTGCCGAGGACAACCAGGTTGCAGAAGAGCTAAGAGAACGATGAGAGGGAAATACATGAACTCACGAAGTATCAAATGGTGCAAAGGAGCAGGACGAAGAACAGAATGATCTATCATCGTGGAAAGCCACGGGGAATGAAGGGGGGGGCTGCGTGCGCGCGTATCGATCCGATCCCGCCGTCTCGGAAGGGGGCGGCTCGCCACCACCACCGATCGAGAGAGGGCTCGCGCTGCCCCCCACACACACAGATCCCTGCCAGAGGCCACCTTCTCGGCCTGCCCTGGGGCCAGACGGCGCGCGCTGTCAGGCCCCAGGCCCGGGGCGGGGCCAGCTGAGGCCGCGGCCCAGCCCATGGAGGAACGCGGGAGCGCAGCGCTCCAGGTGCACTGCATGCGCTCAGCGACGATGGGGCCGACGTTGACCACGATCTCGTCCGCGGCCTCCTGGAGGCCAGCAACCTGGGAGGTCGCCATCGACATGAAGTCCTCTCGGGCGGCCAGATGCGGAGGAGGGGACGAAGCACGAGGAGGAGGAGGAGGAGGAGGAGGAGGAGGAGGAGGACCTCCCCACGCTCCCTTCTCCCCCGTCGTGCCGGTGGCATTGGTGGTGCAGAATTGGCCCACATGCGGAGGGGGAAGCGACTCGGGCCACCCCTGCGCCTCCGCAGGGCCTGCCCCTGGGGCCCTGGGCGGCGCGGCCTCCCTGGGGACAGGGGACGAGGAGGGGGCCCGGGGGAGGAGGAGTTGGAAGAGGAGACGGGGAGCGGGAGAAGGAGGAGGAAGAGGAGGAGGAGGAGGAGGAGGAGGACGAGGACGAGGAGGAGGAGGAGGAGGAGGAGGAGAAGGGAAGGAGGAGGAGGAGGAGGACGCCTCGGGCCCCAAGCCCCCGTCCCTGGCTCCCGGCGCCGAGCGCCTGAGGTGCGCAGGTGGTCCCCAGGTCGCCCGACTTCGCGCTCCGCGGTGCGCGCCCGTCGTCGAGCTCCCGCCCTGCCCCCTCTGGAGAGAGCAGGAGGAGCAGCTCGGCGGCCCAGGCCGCGAGGCGCCTCTTCGAGCCCCTACGGGTGACTTTCCCCCCGAGCTCGTCGCCGCTGCGTTTTCGCTCGCTGGCTGGCTGGGGCGTCTCCCCTGGGACGCACAAAGACATACTAGCACCAGATGCCCTCCTTGGAGGCGTGCCGTCCGACCCGAACACACAGCAGACCCACCTTGTAGTATATCGTTTCCCGAGCGGCGTGGCCAGAAAGCGCCCGACTTCTCGGTGCGCGCGTCGCCCCTGGGGGGACGACGCACACACAGTATTGGTATGTTGGGGTGGCGCCGATCCCCTGCTGAGGTCATCGTCGGCGAAGCGCCTGCTCTGCTTTGCCCGCCGGAGTGCGGGCGGGGGGGTGATGCCTCCAGCCACCCCGTCCTTCACAGTGTCGATCACGACGGGCTTCATGGGGTAGATCTTGCCCACCTTGGGCAGGATCAGCTCGGAGATCTGCCAGACGTCGTGCATGGAGGAGTGCATGTTGTTCAGCTTGTTGTTATCCGCCATCGTGCCCCCCTGGCACGTTGCGGCGTACTAGAACGCAAAGTGCTGCCTGGTATGGATTCTATCATCTTCCTGGGGGGGAGGCACCCTCGGGGGAAGCACCCAGCTGCGTGCATCGTCCCCTCTTGCCGAGGTCATCCTTCGCAGAATACAGCCGATTCGCACTCCTGAGGCCCAGAGTTAGGTCGGGCGTGTCCTCCTACTGGCGGGTTTTGGACAAAAGATTTAATTAAGATAGTCCAAATATACTCCAAAACGGTCGAAAAATAGTAAAACAATCGTTCCCATACCATTTGTTTAACTATTCTTGGATACTCGTCCTGTAGAGGGAAATGCCCGACTGAAGCCCAGATGCCTCCAACACGGCCCAATATCGCTCCAAGACGGGCCACGTGGGCCTCAAGACGGCCCTAAGAAGGCCTTCAGGACGGCCCACGAGGCCTGCGGGACGCCTCAAGGAGAGCCCCGAAAGCCTCCCCGAGAGGACCTCGATGGGAAAAGATCCATGGTCTCCTATGGTACTTGAATGTTGTTCGGGCTCTCCCCTGTTCGGGCTTCCGACGTCCCAAGTCCACCCAAGAGGCCACCAGGACTGCTCCAAGACGGCCCAAGAGGCCCTTAAGAGGGCCCCAAGACGGCCGAACAGGGCTCCTGGACGGCCCAAGAGGCCCAAGAATGCGCAAGACGGCCCCAAGACGGCCCAAAGAAGGGTCCAAGAGGGTGAACACGAACCGACAATTCGAGCCTTCTGCCCCAAGAGGGCTCTGGAGGCCCCAAGAGAGCCAAAATAGGCACCCAAGAGGCCCCAAAGAGGGCACCGAGAAGCAAAAATCATTGATGTTCCATAGGGTATTCAATGCTGTTTAGGTTCTCGCCTTTTCGAGCTCCCGACGCTCCAAGACAGCCCAAGAGGCCCCCAAGACTCCCCCCGAGACGGCCCGAGACGGCCCGAGACGGCCCGAGAGGCGCCCAAGACTGCCCGCTGCCCCAAGAGGTCCCCAGCAGGCCCCCTTGCCTTCTCGAACAGTTGCCACCCAGAATGCTGCGCTGGCAGGGTGGCGGAATTGCCGGAGGCAGCTGGATAGTCGCTGATGTTCGCCATGAGACTGGACATCTGGGTGCAGGCGTCGGTGATGGTCGCCTCCGCAAGACTGGAGGCGTTCACCCTCAGCGGGAGCGCCTGGGCGCGTATGCCCTTGATGATAGGCAGGAAAGCTTGCCTCAGCTCCCTGGGCATCACGACGTTGAGATCCCTGGCAATCTTCTCCCCGTCCGACTGCATCGCCTTGGTGCGGAATGAGGCCTCGTGGAAGTAGCGCGCCAGGAGGAAGGAGAGCTCCACGTCGGAGGCCTTGGAGGCCGCCAGCACAAACTTCGAGGTCTTGCGGCGCGTGATGTTGAGGAAGTCCTGGACGGTGTTCACCGCATCTTCCTTCGCCCTGTTCAGGCGCTTGGTGAAAATGGGGTTCTCCACCGCCGCCGGCAAGGCCATGAGCACGTTGACCATGGTGCCCAGGGCGGTATCGCTCAGCATGACGTTGTCCGACTGGCCCTTGGCGCCCATGAGGGCCTGCGCCTTCTTGATCATCGCCTCCTTAGCGGTGCGAACGGCCTCCTCCTTGGCCTTGCGCTCGTTCTCCTTGGCCTTCTTGCGGTCGCTCGCGGACCTGCGGCGCTTCTCCGCCTCCTGGCGGAGTGCCTTCATGGCCTGGGTCGCCTCCTTCTTGGCCACCTCCATGTCGTGCTGCTTGGACTTGAAGTTGGCCAGTGCCACCTTCAGCTCCTGCGTCCTCGCCTTGAAGTCCTTCTCCAGGATCGGGACGATCTCGTCAATGTACTTGGTCAGATCCTCGTAGCTGGCCTTGTGGTGGGTCGAGGCGCGTCGCTTCGTGGGCTTCCACTCCTCGTCCTCCTCCAGCTGGTCCTCGTGAAAGCCCGCGCCGCTCTCAAAGGTGCAAACTATTGAACGGCAACCGAAAGCGGTGCGAACCGATGTGGTCGAGAATGTAGCGAAACCGACATCAGAAGGCACCGCCGCGTGCACGCAAAGACAAAATGGGAATGAGAGCGATCGACCGAATCAAGTCAAACGAGCAACACCACAGGCGAGATAATCGAATGGATCGCGCATTGCAAAGCCATGGCTCTGGAGGTATGGCTGGAAGAACGGCCGCAAAGCTTACAGATATTGACCAAGAAATGCGGAAATGCGTAGTTGGCCTGGGAATGTAAATGCACCACGCATACTTCGTCACGGTGGTAATGATGATCCCTCCATGTGGCCTCACAGATTTGCGTTCGTCGTACCGTCGCCTACGCGTTAGCATCTGAATGCACGATTGCATTCGCCTATGACATCACAACTTACAACGCACCCTGTACATTCAACTGCGCACATGCCAGCCCTCCTCCTCCTCCTCTTCCTCCTCCTCCTCGTCCTCCTCCTCATCGTCATCTCGCAGTGTGTCAGCATTGAACTCGCATGCGCAATTGCATATTCATTCAAATCCACATGTTCTTTCCTGCACTCGTGCCGTTACCCTTAGATTTGCCGCAACGTTCACAGCGCGCATGTTTCGCCACTGAGTGATGCACTTGAACCTGAACCTGCACATGTGCAGGTTATACTACACATGTGCACCAGTGCACAAACGTATGTTTGACTTGCGAGTGTGCACCTACATGTACATGTTCACGTCAGAGACCAGAAGTGCTACAGATGCGTCGATGTATGTGATTACGCTGGACCTTACGATCTGCCTTGGCTGTGTTTAGACCATAGGTGAAGCGCCAAGACAACATGTAGGGAATGCGCACAGACAGGGTTCACATACGTAGGCCTGCCGGCGGCGGGTGGGGGCAAAAGAGTCTGAGGAGGCACGTTCGCATACTGGTCCAGGATCCAGAAGGGCGCTCCCCTCATGCAGTAGGTGCGTTCGCACGCTCGTCCAAGACCGAAAACGGCTCTGATGCTGACTTACCCCGCTCTCTGAAAGTACACAGAAGGCCCCAGTGAGAGCATTCGCATGGTGGACTGGACTGGGCCTGGAACGGCCCACCCATCTCGCAACTGGTAGGCCCATGCGGATACCCAACTAGGACCGCAGTGGGTGCGTTCATATACCGGCCCAGGATACAATGTGGCCCACCACCCTCACGCAGCTCGACCCCCCGTGCTGTAGGGAGCCACCCGTTGAGAGGCCCAACTGAGGCAGCGAGTGCGTTCGCACACTGGTATGGGACCTAGAACGGCCTCGCGAAATATGTCGCCCCACCACACCCACCTGGCCACCACTTCGGCGGCTCAGCCGAGGCGTCCTTGCTGGCCACTCTGGACTAGAATGGCCCAGGATTCGCGCGTTCTGCCCACCTCAACCCCCCAGCGGCGCGGTCACGCGCGCCATCTCCCCCTACCCGATGGAGGCTCAACTGAAGCCTCAGTGGGCCAGTGTAGAGAGCAGAAAATCCACCCTCATAATAATCACCCCGACACGCAAAGCCGTCTAGTAAACGCACCCACAGAAGGAATCGAACCAGGGCAGGGCTGTTTAGTAAACAGCCCAGGGCCGTCCAATAAACGCCAATTTATCGGTCCGGGTGGCTTTTCCTCCCTTGACAGTGGGTGCATCTGCATACTGTGCGAGGCACTGGAAGGGCCCGACGGAGACACCGACGGGGCGGGGTCGCCGACAGCGGACCCAGAACGGCGACCATTCCATCGCTTGGCCCCCCGCCGACGCTGCACGATTACATCGCAGGGACGGGCTCTCCGCAGCGTCAGCGTCTCACACACGCCGAAGGGTCGCCGGATTTGCCTAGCCTCTTGCCCCGTGCTGGTCAAAATCCTTATAGGATTCACGCGTATGCGGTGAGCAGGCTGGTGTGTCACCTCATTTCGCGCATCGCGCCCACCGATGCGCGACGCGCGGCTATCTTCGCGCCCTCGCGCACTCACGCCGCCTCCTCCAGAGAGGCGCAGCTACTGTGTCGAGACCGCAATGCGCCAAGCGCCATTATCTTCAAAAAACGAAAAAGCACAAAGAAAGCATAAAAAACAAAAAAAAAAACGAGAAAAATGGACGTTAAAAACAAAATCAATAAAAAGAAAAATAAAAGAAGAGAAACAAAAATAAACAAAAAAGTACAAGAGAAAAATAGAGAAAAAACACTTCCAGTAGCACACCACAGAAAACAGAAACAATCCACCAAAACCAACCCAACCCTCCCCACCCACACCACCCCACTCCCAAGACCTCCCCCCCATCAAAGCCCCTAGCGCGCGACTCTGAGGAAAACTCCGTAGTTTCATAATAAGCGTACGTGGGGGCGTCACCCCCGCCAACAGCCCCGGCCACGACCCCCGTCGCGGGCAGCCACCTCGCACTGGACCAAGGCGCTCCTGACCCTGTCGCGGCGCGACGACGAGACGAGGTCGACCCCCGTCGGGGGGGTACCCCCCCACGCTTATTACGAAACCCAGGGCACCCTTATGTGCGATAGGGGGCCGGGGCCACGGAAGAGGACGGAAGTGCAGAGGGAAGGGCGAGAGGCGGGGGCGGGACGCACCTGCAGGTGGGGCCCGGGGGCAGCGACGCCCCGAACCCCAGAAGCCGCCACGAGGAGGCCGGCCGAGGCACAAAGAAGAACACGGGAACGGCGCCCGTGCACAGCACCATGCCTGGACTCCCCTCAGGCCCCGCTCCCGCGCAGCACGGCGCACAGTTCTTCGGCTCCGAGGGCCGAACAGGCTACGCACCGCACCGTTTCACGAGCGGCGAACAAATCCGTATCCGTGCCCTTGCGGTCTGTATTCCGGAGCAGGATCTCGCAGATACGCAGTAGCACGGATACGTTCCGCCCGGAGCATCAGCGAAAACACGCCCCGCATCGGCGAGGTCGCGGCCCAGGGGCCCGGCCCGCGCGCCCGCGGATACGGATGTTTTTCGCCTACGACCGTTCCCAAATCGACGACGCCTTGGAAGACGGCAGGACGGCACGGTGCACGCCAAGTCGCCCGCGTAAAGAGGAGGTGCCCGATGATAGGCACAGGGCGGGGTGCCCGATGCTGGAGTCGCTCGGAGGCAGCGAACAAAAAGGACTGAACTGGCCGGCCCGGCCAAAGTACGGAGGCGGGGAACGCGTCTCGATCGACTCGTCCGCTCCTTTTCTTAAGGAATCAAAATCCGGCATACGTAGTAGCACTGGTAGTAACAGTAGTAGCAGCAGCACTAGTAGTAGTGATGATAGTAGATATTAAACTAGTACTGGTAGTAGGAGTAATAAGAATTGTAATAAGAATAGTAGACGCAGTAGTAGTAGTAGTAGTAGTAGTAGTAGTAGCAGTCGTAGTAGTAGTAGTAGTAGTAGCAGCAGCAGCAGTAGTAGTAGTAGTAGCAGTCGTAGTAGTAGTAGTAGTAGTAGTAGTAGTAGTAGTAGTAGTAGTAGTAGTAGTAGTGGTAGTGGTAGTGATAGTGGTAGTGGCGGTAGTAGTAGTAATAATGGAAAATGATAGTGGTAGTAGTAGTAGTAGTAGTAATAGTAGTAGTAGTAGTATGTTGCTCTAAATTTAAGAAATACCCGTAGCTGAAATAGTTGTGGCCGGAATAGTCGTAGTACGAATAGTATAATTGATAGTCGCAGTAGTAATGATCATAGGACTAGTCGTAGTAGACATAGTAGTACTTGTAGTTGCTGTAGTAGTAGTGGTAGTAGTAGCGGTAGTAGTAGTAATGATAATAAGACGAGTGGTAGTAGCATAGTAGTACAATAGCCTTGGCAGCAGTAGTAATGATAGTAGGTAGTAGTAGTTGTAGTAGCAGCAGCCGTACTAGTGGTAGCAGTAGCGCTAGTAGCAGTGACCGTAGTACCAGACAGGGTAACAGTAGCAGTAGAAGTGATAGGAAGAGTAGTAGTAACAGTCGTAATACTAGAAACAGAAGTGGTAGCAGTAGTAGTGGAAGTAGTAGTAGTAGTAGTAGTAGTTAGAGTAGCCCGAGTGATAGCAATAATGCGAATTATAATTGTAGTAGTAGGCGCTGTAGTAGAACAAGTAAATAAAAATGCAAATAGTAGTAGTAGTCAGTAGTAGTAGTAATAGTAGTAGCAGTACGAATAGTAGCAGTACTAATAACAGAAATGATATAAGTAGAAGTAGTAGAAGAAGAAAAAGAAATACTGGATTGAGCTGAAGTGATAATAACAGTAGTGGTAATAATAGTAAAATTAGAAGAAATCGTACGAGTAGAAACAATGATAATAGTAAAATTCGCAGGATACTGTAGTGATTGTACTAGTAATGATACGGCTAGTGATAATACTAGAAATAATAGTAGACGTTGCAATAGTAGTTGCAGAAGTAATGATAGCAGAAGCACGAACAGTACAAGTAGTAGTCGTAGTAGTAGTGATAAGACCTAGAGAGAAAGAATAGTAGAAGTGAGAATGGTAGATGAATTAGTAGAGTTAGAATCAGAAGTAGTGGCAGAAGTAGTAGTAGTAAAGTGATGAAAATAATCGTAGTAGTAGTACTTGATGTTCTTGTGGTAATCGAATCGTGATGGTACGAGTCGCCGTCGTAGTAGTAATGGTACTATCATGTAGTATGCAATGATAATCAGAAAAAAAAGTAATCGTAGTAGACGTAGCAAGACTACGACTACTACTACTACTACTACTACTACTACTACTACTACTACTACTACTACTACGACTACAACTAACGACTACCAACCACTAACTACTAACTACTTCCTACACTTCCCACTACTACTACTACTACTACTACGATACTACTACACTAATACAACTACTTCTACTACTACTACTACTACTCATACTACGACTACTACTACGACTACTACTACGACTACTACTACTACTACTACTACTACTACTACTACTAACGACTAACTACGAACTACGAAC